GTAGTTAAATATTAAGAATTATATATGTAGAAGATACAAATAAATGGAAAATAAGTATGAATAAAAATAAAAATAAAGGAGAATATAGCATATAAGTTAAAAGTAAACAGATTGCGATAAAAGATAAGGAATAAGTGTATAACAAACTAATAGAGATTACATTAGATAACTGTGGGTTAACAGATAAAGAAAATAAATACATGAATGTTAACGAATAAATAGATTGAAAATTGAATAAGTATTGTTACAGTAAAGTTAAAATAAGGATAAGATAACTCTTATTATTATGTTATCTTATCCTTATTTTAACTTTACTGTAACAATACTTATTCAATTTTCAATCTATTTATTCGTTAACATTCATGTATTTATTTTCTTTATCTGTTAACCCACAGTTATCTAATGTAATCTCTATTAGTTTGTTATACACTTATTCCTTATCTTTTATCGCAATCTGTTTACTTTTAACTTACATGCTATATTCTCCTTTATTTTTATTTTTATTCATACTTATTTTCCATTTATTTGTATCTTCTACATATATAATTCTTAATATTTAACTACATTGTCACCCACTATATCTCTGATACCATCTTTTATTTCTGTATCTGACAACTTCTTCTTATTTTATATATACTTATATTTATTTTTTATTTTCAACAGGTTTTGTATCTTTTGTAGCCCTGAAGACGACCTGCAAAGTGGGTCGAAACGTCGGCAAAAATTAAAATAATTAATATATTTTAATTTATTATTTATTTGACCGCACCCTCGACTAACTCTTTCTCGTAAATATTACATAGTGATTTTGAATAGTGGCTGCGAAGGTAGTGACGTCACGAACTACTGCCAAAAATGGACAAAGAATGACAGATGGTGGGGGAAGAGTTCCATATGTGAGGCAGAAGGTAGCCAGCCGGCTAGTAAAGAGGATCGGTGAGAAGAAAATGTTAGTTAACAAGTAGTGAGTGTCTACAACTAGACGAAGACAAGAAAATAATAGAACAAGAGAAAGTTGTAGAAGTTGGATACAATACCGAGGAAGATTCACTGCAGAACAGGGTGAGTGAAATATAAATGGACAGTTCGAAAGCACGCCAAGATTAGACCCCGACAAACAATGAAAATTCATAAATGTGCTGTATAATTAATCTATGCTTTTATATTGTATAATTGAGGATGTGTGTTTATTGTCTCAACCGAACCTGAGAAATAATTATTGCATAAAATAAATATAATTTTATTCACAAACTGTTTTGTTTACTTTTCGAAGGGAACGTAACCTTACAATATATATACATATATATTGGGTGGACCTATAAGTTTGTTCGGTTTTTGAAGGGTGGAGTAAAACATGTCTTTTTCATACAAAGAATAAATTTTATTCTATAATGTATTTGCCATTTTTATTAATAACCTCTTGCCATCTTTCTAACAATGTAATTATTCAGCTCTCGTAAAACATCTGTGGTTTAGAAGCGAAAAATTGGTTGAGATACGTTTTCACATCTCTCTTATTAGCAAACAATTTCCTGCTGAGGAATTTTCGGAGGAACTGGTAAAGTGGTAGTCGGATGGTGCAAGATCTTGTGAATATGGTGGGTGTAATAAAAGATTCCAGCCAAGTTGCACTAACATTTACTGTGTGATTATTGCAGAGTGTGGTCTGGCATCATGGTGAAATACAACACCTTTGCAATTGACTAGTTCAGGGCATTTCTGTCGCAATGCTTGGTCCAATTTCATTAGCTGCATGCAGTGGATCTTTGAAACAATCCCTTTTTCCTTGTGGAGGCAACTGGTAAAACAGCATGGCACGATAATCCCACCATACGGTGGGCAAAATCTTTTCTGGCCTTAAGGTTGGGGCATTAGGGGGCCGTTAGCAGCTGTCCACGATCTCCTGCACAATACATTGTCATACATGATCCACTTTTTGCCACCCCTCACTATTTGATGAGAATGGATCCGTTTTGTGCTGGTTCAGAAGAGAGTTGCAGATTGATATTCGGTGGCCAGATTTGCCTCAGTCAGTATGTGTGGCCCACAAATATCGAGGTGGGACACGTAGCCAGGCTGTTTTAAATGCCTTTGAACAGTTCAAAAACATATTTTCAGTGTCTGCATCTCATACCTGTAGCGACCGCTCTTGCTCAATTAGAGCCTTCATATCAATAAAATCAACCTTGATCGGTCTGACCGCTGCAAGTTGCATCTTCGAGACTTGTATCTCCAGAATGAAATTTGGCAAACCATTTTTGAGCAGTGCAACACTCTGTTAAGGCATCATCCCTGTATACCTTACATATCTTTTAGTGGATCTCCAAAGCTCGCATGCTTTTTGAAATAAAAAGCAAAAAATGCACTTAATCATTTGACATATTCACTAGGATGTAGCACAAACAAAACTAATGCCAATGAACAGTTTCGAAGAGTGGACCTTAACCTATCCAATAAGTATAATTATTGTCAGATATGGGAAAGAGAACTGGAGATATTTGAAAACAATTTGCACTACTAATAAAAACCGAACAAAGTTGTCGATCTACCCAATATACATATATATATATATTGTGTGTGTATATATATATATTTTTTATCCTTGCTATGATTTTATATTCATATGTTTCTCTCACCAATGGAAGAATGATCGAATTATCCCCTTGACTAAGAGGAAAAGACCTTGGGGTCAAATAAAAATCCCTCAGATAAAATATAGATCAAAGAAAACTAAGAAGTAAGTCCCATCTTCTTATTTATTAAAAGATATGATGAAGAGGACTTTAAAAAAGGTTAAAGGGATAATTTAAGTTTATGACTTTCAATAACTGGGTATAGTTATATTATTTACTAATTTAATGAGGGCAAAATCCTCAAATTGAATATTAGACATTCAGGCACGACACTTTGTTTCTTAATCTTAGTTTTTAAGGAAATCCATTATTTTCTCTTAAGCGTATGAGAGTTTTACAATACTATTTTTATGAGTGTAGGAACAATTTTCAAAATGGTCCTTGAAATGAGATGCATGACCTAACCCAAGGAGATGTTCTTTAATACATTTTTTTAGTTTCCTTCCGATCTGCCCAATATAAACGGCAGACCATAAGCTCAACTGAGTAAACCCCACTTGTAGGATCAACTAAGTCCTTAGTCCAGGAAACCTTCAAACTTAAAAGTTTTAAAAAAATTGTTTTTATTCATTTTATAGATTATTGAAGGAAGTTAGTCGACTGTTCAACATATCATAGGTGATAAATAGTCAGGATGTAGTCATTTTTAAGGTTTTAATTAGTGCCGACGTTTCAACCTTAACATTTGGGTCATTATCAGGGCGTGTTTCAAGGACTGAAGGTTTTCAAGTACTGGAAGGTACTGGGAGGAGTTGAGTACTTGAATACCTTCAGTGCTCGAAACACGTACTGACGATGACCCCCATATTAGGGTTGAAACATCGGCACTAATAAAAAACTTAAAAGTGGCTGTGTCCTGACTATCACCTATAACATTTTACAGATTGTTTTGTAAATATTGATTTTTATTGTTATTGTTATGTTAATTTTTATAACTAAAATGTTTAAAAAGTATAGTAGTTTTTAGTATTATTTAAAAAGTTTTATTTTTCGTAGCTGAAAAGCAAGAGAAGAGGACGGTGATATTTAGTTTTTACTTAATATATTTAATTGTTGAGTTTTTATTTATTTTACGTTTTCTAAATTTTGGTTTTTATTTTTGTCATTTATTTTTATATTTTATTAAACCTGCTGAAAGACCAAAACTGGTAGCAAGAAACAATAAAAAATGATATAAGGAGGACGCCTTTTTATTGAATTTTTTTTAAAATTTATTACATTATAGTTGGACGTTTCGGGCAATGTGCATCAGAAACATATTATTTACAGTTGGTCAGTCGTTTTTTCCAAATTGTCAAGCAACAATAACATAAATATATACAGAGTAGAAAAAATCAACATTTTATATATAGTCACTAAAGAAGAAAAAAAAAATCCAGAAATATTTGGAAAATTCTCTTACATTTCTCAGTTTTTTCCCATATATGAGAAATTTCCGTACTATTCCCGATTTTCGGAAAATAACCGGTCATTGGACAATCCAAAATAACCTTCAACAACCTTATTATATGTCAAGATGCATTTAGGCATTTCACAAACTACGGGAAAAACAAATATTTAAATAGTTAATTCCTAATGCTGGTGTTTTTGTTTCGTATTTTTGATGTGTTCCATTTGTTGTTGGTAACAAGAGAAATAAAAAAAAAAGTTTGACTTAGCATTAATGTTGCTGTTAGTTAAGTTAGATAACTGTGTTTCTCATTGTTTGTGAAATATCAAAACGGGCCTTTAGATATTCGTATTTCTAAAATATTTTTAAATTGTTATTATTATTAATACATCACATATATTCTTTCTTATATGGGATGCCAACAAAACAAAGAGAACATGAAATTCAGAAACAGCTTATACCATACTCAAAATGGATAGTAACCATTTGATTAAGATGACCCACAGTTCTTAGGTACAATGCTCCACCATAAAAAATGGCTATTACTATTATCGTATACATATTTTTTTTTTATGTAGGTTTTTAATTAGTTTTTGCTACTGTCAAGTAAACAAAGGAATGATACTTAAGTTTATAATTTTAATTTTATCATAGTGTGGTTATAGTATATCAAAACATGGACAATTACTATGTACATATTTGCAAATTGCAAACTATCATTTAAATAAAGTTATTATTATTATTAAAAAATGTTTGATACCAAACATGGTGCATATTACAAAATAGAAAAATTTTAATGTCTTGCATGGAATAGGTATGGAACAGAAATAAGGATTTTTAAGAGATTTTTGTAGATGGTCATCAATGTCACTAGTTTGCAGAGTCTAGTATTAGTAGTGTTAAATATTAGAAAACTATAATATTACCAACAAAAATGTGTATACTTATTTTCTTATAAGAAAGTAGTAATGAAATACCTGAAGCTAAAATTATAGAAGCCCTTTGACCTTCAGCAACATTAATATCTGCTTCACGAACTCCCTCTGACTCCAATATTGCAGCCCTTTTCTTACGTTCTGCCTCAACTTGCATTTGCATAGCCTCCTGTACTCGCTGAGGAAGTTTAATATCACCTTAAAAAATTAAATGGTTAAAGTTTAAATAAATTAATTATTTGGAAAAAATAAAATAAAATAAATAATTCAACTCATTTGCTCTCATAAATTTAAAAATAGATACATATGTATCAGAAATAAGAATCTATGAACAACAATTTTATAGTACAAGTATTGAGGAAGCTTAAAATGAGTAATGGATCATTGAGTAATCTATGTAACTAGTTGGGCCGTGTGAATAAGTCGTATAGAAAATTAGTTAGAGAACAACTGACAATATAATATAAAAATAAGTTAATGATGTGTATTATTAGATAGAAGAAATAATTTTCTTTTTCTCAATGGAATCACATTACCTCATTCCAACTAATAATCCCAAACATGTGTTCATAAGCCATAGCAAATGATTTACTTTTGATTTTAATTTTTTTACCTGAAATTTACTAAAATATTCATAACTCCTCAGGATTTTCTCCTAATTCAGTTCTACTATAACTGTTGGAAACTCAAATTATTGCTCTTCTTGTTGTTTAGTACCTCTATAAGATGCAAATAAATAAAAACTCCTAACACGTTTTTATTTTATATCTCAAGTCCTAAAATATCTAGGGGGGTCTGCTTTTTGTCATTTCGTGTAGATACGTGGAAGTATTTTAAAGTTATCACACTTTTTTTTGATTTTAGAAGAAAAAAAAACTCCAAGAGGAGAAGCCTTGGCTCCAATTTATTTCATTTTTCTATTGCTATGAAAATTTTTATTTGAGGGTCCTTTGAGGCACTTTTTTTTTTTTAATATATGGATATGACTTAAGAGCCAAGATACTACAACTAATCCAGAAAATATGGCAAGAGGAAAGGATACCTGAGGCTTGGAATAGGGGCCTAATCTCTCCTATCCTAAAGAAAGGCTCCATGAGTGCAGTAATTACAGAGGCATAGTACTCCTTCGGTTGCCTACAAGACAATGACCAATATCCTACTAAACCGAATATATCCGCATTACGAGAGTTTAATAGGCGACCAAGATGGATTCAGAAAAGGGAGGAGCACGCTGGGAAACGATGGCTTGTGAGGTCCACGCCTTATTTGTCGATTTCAAAGCAGCCTATGGTTCTGTGGACAGGACTGTCTTTGGAAAATCATGACTGAACTGAGAATTTCTGGTAATTTGGTGATATTGACAAATGTAGAGTCCTAATACAAGCAGAAAAGCAGAAATATCTGAAGCCTTCGATGTTCGAACGGGCTTACGGCAGGGAGATGGACTAACACCGATGTCGCCCTGGAGAAGGTAATAAGAGCAACAGACAGGAAAATGGAGGGGTCCACGTCGGAATGAATCATAAATTCATGGATACGCAGATGATATAGCTGTCCTTGGAAGTAATCAAGAAGACATTGAGAAACTCGCTACAACACTGGTAAGAATGGATTAACAGAAACAGAGCTTTCTTCTCCCTCTCAAAGGTATTGAAATCCTAAAAAATCTCAAACTAAGGGTGTATAATGCTATGATAAAGCCAGTTATAATATATGGCTGTGAGACCTGGACACTAACCAGCACCCCAGAAAAAAGTGTTGAAAGATTTGAGTGGAAAATCTTCCACACGATAACCGGAGAGATCTAGGATCCGAGTACTAACACATGGAGAAAAAAGACTAATAAAGAACTGCTAACAGAAACTGGTCAATCAATATCCCATAATATGGGGCATGTAGCTCATAGGAATCCATCTGGAAGCCTCTACGTAACAATGAATGCCTCAATAGAAGGCAAAAGACCACATGGAAGGCCAAAAAGCAGATGGATAGATAGAATCAATAAAGATTCAACAGAGCTGCATGCAGATAAATGTAAAGAAATAACGCATGAGAGGCACAGATGGAGCAGGCTTGTTAAAATGGCAAAAGATCTACATGGACTGTAATGGCAAAAAAAAAAAAAAATAGCTTTTTAAAATAAAAAATAACTGTGTTTACATCGGGACTTATTCTCCCTAAAATATTTATAAGACATATCTAGTGAAACCACACAATTATGGCCGGCCCGCCGACTAGGGTAGGGAAGCGAAGGCGAAGATGAAGGTTTTCGCGTGATTCCCAGCATTGGAGATGCCTCTTCAGTAGGCTCAGCAAACTAAGGAGGTAGACTGAAGCCCAAAAATTTGAGGGTCCATCAGGATGTCAGCTTTTCCACCTGAATCATGGGCGGTGGGTGTGTTGATAATTCAACTTCTTCTAACGAATCCTACACAAAGACAAGCCGGACGGAACTTTGGTCAATGACATAAAGCATGTATAAATCCAATATTAAATGTTCAAAGACAAGCCGGACGGAACTTTGGTCAATGACATAAAGCATGTATAAATCCAATATTAAATGTTCAACATTCTAACTTCAAAAAGGAAATAAATTTAAAAAGGAATTCAAAGTCACTTGGAATGGTTTATCATTTTACAGACCGGGGGCTTTGCAATAGCTCCTTATACAACTGGACCTGTACAATATACAGGGTGTTTCGTATTTGCATGGCACTATTTTAGGTATATGTTCATTAACACAAAATAAACAAAAAAATTCATATTAACATATATCTCAAACTCATTTATTAAACAGACATCAAAGGTTAAAGATTTATTATTTATTTACTACATTACGACTGACTGTACAAAGTTTAACATGTTTATTACAAAAGTAACAGGTTTTAATCACCTGATAAACAAATGAACTATAAGCAATGACAGTAGTTGCTCATCTGTTTGGTTTAGTATGAGTGTATACTGTGACACAGTTCAATTTATGATTACCATGGGAGACACCATAAACTAAAGATTACCAAATCATAAAACGTTTGAGGCCATTGAAAGACGCCTTAGAGATAATGGCACGCTAAAACCTATACGAGTAAACGCCGGTTGACAAAGATTTTGACGAACTGCAAATGTTGGAGAAGAAATACTCGATGCTGTTCAGTTATCTCCTACTACTAGTACCAGAAGATTGTCACGTCGTTTCGATGTTTCCTCTACCAGCGTATGGCGAACTTTATGTGAATAACAATTGTATCCATTTCACGTATCAAGCAGGCAAGATTTGTTACCAAAAAATTATAACAAGCGCAGAAATTTCTCCCAGTGGTCAATTCGACAATGCACACGAGATCCTAACTTCCTGAACTGCATTTTGGTTACTGATGAATCTTGCTTTACAAGAAACGGGATTCTTAATTTTCGAAATACTCATACTTGGGCTGAAGACAACCCTCAGACAACTGCTGTTGGACATTACCAACATACCTTTTCTTTAAATGTCTGGTGTGGTCTTCTAAGCGACAAAATCATCGGCCCCTTCTTTTTGCCACCTAGTAGGCTGTCAGGTATATCTTAATTCAAATGATCAAATGATGGGGTGACCAGTAACCAAATAGACCATATCCTATGGATGAGCAGGTTCACACAGGTGCAAATGTTCAAAATTTGTGCAAGAAAGATTTGACTCAGTGTCAAGCTGCAACAGATGCCAAAAATATTGTATACAAGCTAATGCTTCAAAGAAGGCAGACTCAGAGTTCAGCACAATAGTTCAGAAAAAATAAATAAAACACTTCAAGAAGAAACTTCACAGACAAAAGAAAAGGAGATGGAACCGTGAGAAACATGCTCAAATGGAGCAGAGTAGAAGGGAAAATAATGCACGAAAGTTTAATCAACTTGTCAACAATACTCGGAAACCATTGATACATTGAGTGAGTGCATGCAGAAATGAAGATGGAACTTTACTGATGGACAAGGATAGCGTCCTTAACAGAAGAACCACTTTTGCTTAACTTGAAGGTGATGATAGCGCAAAAAGAGATGCTGAAGAAATACTAGAGCCCTCGGATGAAGATGAGATACAAATGGCCATAAATAAGTTAAATAACAACAGAGCTTCTGGATCAGATAACCAGCCTGCAGAACTGTTTAAACATAGAAGTGAAGAATTGATGAGATCCTTGCACAATCTTCACATCAACATATGGAAAACGAAAGAATTGCAGAGTGATTATGCAGAGAATGAATGAATGCAGAGTATGAAAATATTATATATCCAATATACAAAAAAGGAGACCTACTAATATGCCATATTAACAACTTTTTTAACCCTAATCAAAACAAGATTTTCCTAAGGATTCTGTTCAAGAGACCCTTACCTAATTCTGAAAGAGAAATAGGTCACTATCAAGCAGGATTCATGGAAGGGCAGTCTACCACTGACCAAATTTTCTCCCTCAGAATCTTACTAGAAAGAGCAAGAGAATTTCGAATCAGCACCCATCATCTATTTATAAATTTCAAGGCAGCATAAGACAGCGTTTCAAGACAGGGGCTCTATAAGGAAATGCTGCAGTTAGGGATCCCACCAAAACTAAATTGTCTGGTCCACATGACAATGAAGGAGCTCGAAGGAGCTAAGTCTGAGCAATTTACACTCATAAAGAGCCCAGATAGGGACTTCCCAGCATAGTTAAATTTCAACTTCAGCCTAGAATGTGCAGTGCGGAGAGCCAACATCCAAGTCAGAGGAACAATATTCAACAAATCCGCTATGATCCTAGACTTTGCAGAAGAACATTGATATGACTGGAAAGTCTTTTGGAGCGATGAGGGATGCCTTCCTTGACCTACAAAGAGAAACTACAAGAATGGGACTCTCCATTAATGAAACAAATACAAAATACATGCTTGCGAATTCTATTGGCGGAGACCAGTTGTATATTGGCCAGTATAGTTTTGAGAGAGTTGAAGATTTACTTATCTTGAAACCCAAGTGAACTCCAGAAATGATATTAACACTGAAATCCACTGGCGAATAATGACTGCCAAAAAGATGCTATTACGGTCTTCAGACAAACCTAAAATCAAAGATGTCTCCAGGACTACCAAGGAGTGTATGTATAAAACACTCATCAGACGCGTGGTGACCTATGGATCAGAATACTGGACTCTCCTGAAAACTCAAAAGCAGGCTCTTGCAT